GAAAAAAAAAAAAAAAAAAGTGTTGAAAATCTCACACAAAGCTCTTACACTCTCTCCCCATGAAGAAGCTGGGAACAACCTCAGCTCTTTAGGGCTGAATAGTCCAACACCAAAGAAAAATAACAGGCACATGAGGGGTTTCTGACTGTTTAATTTGCACTGATACCTGCAGACACAAAGGTGGGGGCAGTCTGAATGAAGACAAGACAACAGCAACTCATCATTTTGCTTCTGATATTTTTTACTTACTTCCATTATTTATTTACAATCAGCCAGAAAACCTGACTCCCACTCAGAGGCCTTGGCAGTGTGAAGAGATGGGGCACTTGAGAAATGTAACTGTTAACATGCAGAACAGCTGAATTGTTCACCCTTAACCCCACTAGGGTTGTGCAGGAAAACACTGACATGGTTTGTGTTGCAGTAACATGGCTGGGCCTTACCTGGGCTCGGTCTGTATAAAAGGCAAAGAACCTGCTCTGAAGAGCCTGAAATCTTCCCTTCAGAGAGAACACTGATTTTTTTTTAATTTTTTTTTTAGTGATTTGAAAGACAAAAGTACCTAAAAGTGAACCCTGGGCTACACAACAGTTGCCTGCTAGCACTGAGCACCTCCTCACCCCCCCAGGCATCGTCGTCCAGGTCAGATGCTGATCCTCCTCATCTTGCTTTGTCTTGAGGGAAGATTTTCAAGACAAGACCGACATCATCAGGAAAGTGATAAGCAGAGGAGGCAGGAGGTGGAGTGTCATGGCCACAGCACCCAGAGAGGCTGAGGACGGTGCTAGAGGAAAAAGAGAGGGCATGAGTGCAAAGAAATGAATGATTGAGCTGTTTCCCCATGGCGGAGAACACAGAATCCCAGAACCATCTCAGTTGGAAAAGCCCTTGAAGCTCCTCCAGTCCAACCATGAACCTCACACTGACCATTCTCAACTCCACCAGATCCCTCAGTGCTGGGTCAACCCGACTCTTCAACCCCTCCAGGGATCCCTGGGACTCCCCCCCTGCCCTGGGCAGCCCATTCCAACGCCCAACAGCCCCTTCTGCACAGAAATCCTTCCTCAGAGCCAGCCTGACCCTGCCCTGGGCAGCTTGAGGCCATTCCCTCTTGGCTTGGCGCTGGTTCCTTGGTTCAAGAGACTCATCCCCCCTCTCTGCACCCTCCTGGCAGGGAGTTGCAGAGGGCCAGGAGGTCTCCCCTCAGCCTCCTCTTCTCCAGACTAAACCCCCCCAGTTCCCTCAGCCGCTCCCCAGCAGACCTGTGCTCCAGACTCTGCCCCAGCTCCGTTTCCCTTCTCTGGCCATGCTCGAGTCATTCAATGGCCTTTTTGGAGGGAGGGGCCCAAAATTGAACCCAGGAATTGAGGGGCGGCCTCACCAGTGCCGAGTCCAGGGGTTAGATCCCTTCCCTGTCCCTGCTGGCCACGCCAGTGCTGATACAAGCCAGGATACCACTGGCCTTCTTGGCCACCTGGGCACGCTGCTGGCTCATTATCACTCAACACTCCCAGATCCTTCTCTGACTGGCAGCTCTCCAGCCACTCCTTCCCAAGCCTATAGTGCTGCTGGGGGTTGTTGTGGCCAAGGTGCAGAACCCAGCATTTGGCCTTATTGAAACTCCTAGAGTTTACATACAGAACATCTCTTTATGCCACATCCTGGCAAGATATTTTCATTTCTAACTATGGTAAATAGCACCACCAAGTCACAGCCCAGATCCGACACTCAGCAGAGGAGGAATATCTTCAAGTGCTTGCTCCATTGAGACATCCCACCAGTGAGGATGCTCTCAGTGGGATTACAGGATGGCTTCTTCCACTGGACCCAGAATGTGCTCAGCAAGGCTTAAGACTCCTCAGTAGAACTGCTTGAATAGATAGGTAGTCACAAGTGTCACTGGAAGGGGTCTGCAGTAGCCCAGGTCAACAGGCCCAAGAGCAGCCAGCAGGACCTTCCAGGGCCTTGGCACAAGCGCTGCTGAGAGCAGGACCAGAGCAGCTTGGCCATGATCACTTGAGCTAGGTGCGCTCACTTCTCTTTTACAGACAACTGAAAGCACTTTGCTTCCATAAGGCAGTTTTGATCCTTGCTGTAACCCAAAAATAAATATTTAAGCACAACAATCAGAGGTCCTAACATAATACATACACTGAAATTTTGGTGGGACGATGTTGATGTAGCCTTCTTGTGTTCCCCCAGTGAGCCCAACACCCAGTTTATTCAGCTCTGATTGTTTCTGTGTTTGGACCCACTCCCGGATGGGAGACTGGTGCTGCCATTTCTTCAGATCATGAAGATTTATTATCCCCATCAAGCCCTGAACCTCAGAAGGTGTCAGGCTCTAGGAGAAATCAAAGAGCAAGAATTACAGATGTAAATGCAGGAATGGAAATAATACCTCTGACCAAAGAACCAGTGAGGTTTCTGTTAGCAGATGTGTGAAGAACATGGAAGACAAGTTTCTGGTGAGTGGCTTCGGCTGGGACAGTCTTGCCTTAGGCTAGGGGAATGAACACGATGGTTCCACAAAGACTATCTCTGTTGTCCTCCGATGACAAGTCTCCTCCATGCAAATGGAGGCCCCAGTCCCTGCCCAAAATCACTGTGCTTTCTTCCAAAATTGATATTACTGCTAATGCTCTCATTAGATCTGTCACATAGCTGTGGACTGTAGTCTAGTGGACGCCTGTACCCTGCTCCCACCTCTACTGCTGCGAGAGCCTGCTCTAAAGAAATTCCCCAGTAAGACTGGCTCAGCAGCCACATGTGACTCCAAATTACATTTTTTAAAAAGTTTCAGGCCGCTTCTCTACTTTCTACTGGTCTAGCACCATTCTGAATTTGATGGAGTGACTCCCAATTCACAGCAGTGGATGACGTGACCAAAACCAACTATTTAGCATATATGAATGCAAGGAGTCAAACAATTTCAAGATTCAGCTCACCAGCAAAGAGTCTCTTCTTAAATTCTGCAAAGTATTAACTGTCATGTTCACGTTGTCCTTGCTTAGAGCTTTGAGATCCTCACCAGGAGCTCCCCCTGGGACCAAAAAGACAAAGTGTATTAAAGCATAGAGGAGAGCCCTCAGGTGAGCAGAGCTGGGTATCTCTACACACTAGAGCTATAATGACATCTTCAAAATTTATTAGGCTGTGGCTGTAACAGAGTGAGTTCCAACTGCAAAATATACGGATGTGACTTCATTTGGCTGAGAGGTGTTATTGTGCTGGCAATTAAACCAGTCCCTGACAATGCCAGACACTAGACAGAGGGCTAAGAAGAGCTTGCACAGGCTGTGAATAAATTATTGGCTTAACAGGGGGAAAAAAAAAAAAATTCTATGTTTTGTGACATGGAGAAGGGCTATGAGATAAGCATTAAGCATTAGCAGCTTGATTTCTTGTCGATCTAGCAGATCTATCTATCCCAGAAGTCGTGAGTTTGTTTTTGCTGACAATTGATTTGGGTAACTTTAAGTCAGGTACAGAATCTTTCAAGAATATTTTATGCCATCTACAAATTGGAAAGACCGCAACTTTAAACAACTTGGCTTTGAAAATTCCCAAATCTTAAGATGGTTTTTGATGCCTATTCAGCTTCTGTCTAAGACCTCTCTCTTTCCCCATAACATACTGTTCTTTTACATACCCAGATATGGTTCAATAAGCTCATAGTAAGCAGGTAAATAGCGCTGGTCTGAGAAAGCACGTTTTGCTTTAGCATATAAGATGTCCTTCGCATGCTGTGAACAGGCTGAAGGATTCAGAGATGCCAATCTGCAGAAAAAGGAAGATTTGGGAAGAGGAAAATTTTTATTATCTTCAACCTGAATAAATTTTGAATTATGGAGAGAAGCTAAGAGAAAATAATAATAGTTCAGGCTGCTGCTCAAAATGATAGGTCTAAGTTATGATGGCTGATAAGTTTATCTGTTTGCAAAGACAATTAATTTAATTTAGCAGTCTTTAGAAGGAATTTAAATTAACGAACTCTTTTGCCTCTAGATAAAAGCATACATGCAGACCATATCTGCTGTCAGCTGAGCTGCAATAAAGAGTTTGATTGCAAATCTGAGCCCTTCCCTGGCAGGCTGAAGAACAGCAGGCTTTTAAACCTGGACACAGAGCAGGTATTAAGCTGCTTCCCAGTCTTCCTTTCAGTGAGTGGAAAGAAAAGGAAAATGCATTGATGGGAAAGTGCTTTTGCAAGAAGCCAAGAGCATCACAATATTTGACTCACTTTAGGCTGCTGGGGTCTATCATGTTCAACTCAGTCACGTTTAGAAGGCACACGTATTTCGTACCGATCGCATTCAGGGCAGAGGCATTCAAGGCATTTCCCAAATCAATGTATTGTTTAATTATTGCAGAAGCCTAGAAACACATTCAATTTTTTCAAAAGTTAACTTGAACCAGAATTTATGTTTTCATCCTCAAAAGAAAAACAAATGCAATAATTACAAAAATAAAATCGAATCACTTCACATCTATTTGTTTAGATCTCAAGAATAAATCAATCTATTTCTGAACCCACTAAGCTAGTCCTAAACTAGCAGCTCCCAAACTGGGAAGCAAAAGTGGGCAGGAAAACAAACCCAAACCCTTACCTGCTCATCAGGGGGCTGATTTTTTAGCAAGTCAGCCAGCGTGTCAGCTGAAGTTATCCTCCATTTGGAAATATCCTCAGGGGTGATGACAGAAACAAGGGGGCCCAGTTTGGGGAGCAGACTTTCAGGATACCCATCAGGATACGTCTGTGGAAAAAATGTTGTTATTGCTATGAACACTCATCATCATGCCCGTGCTTAAGAATTTATGCTCTTTGCACAATTAATGTGGAAAAGCCCAAAAGGTCTACAAGGAATAAGAGAGCAAAGCCATTGAGATTGCTTGAGCACCTCTGTCCTTTTTCTGCTTGACAGCTCAGGCAAACAGGCCTGGGGGGAAGGAACAAAACCCAACGCAGTGTGAGGTGACTCAGCAGGGATCTGGGTGGGCAGTGTGCCTTGCAGGGGTGAAGTCTGACCAAATACTCTGCTTCTCTTGCAGCAGCACAGTCAGCAGATCAGAGGAAAGGATTATTCCTCTGAATTTGGCTGGCATTTGTGAGACCCCATCTGGGTATCAAGTCGAGTTTTGGGCTCTCCCTGGTACAGGAAAGACTTTGACAAAGACCAGCAAGTCTAGCAGAGGGCCATGCTGGTTGGGGGGGCAGAAGCACACAACATACAAAGTGGGGCCGTGGGGCTGAGGGAGCTCGGTTTTTTAGTCTGAAAAAGAGACTAGGTGAGAATTTTATTACTGTGTTCAATTGTCTAATGGGAGATTATAGGGAGGATGGAGCCACACTCTTCTCAGAGATGCACAGTGAAAGCATAAAGGCCAATAGGCAATGAAAATTCTGTTTAGATATTAAAAAACCCTATTTTCACAGTAAAGGTGGTCAAACAGGGGAAGACGGCCCCAGAGAGATCTTGGAGTCTCAGTCCTTGGAGATACTTAAATTCAACTGGACAAGTCCCTGAGCAACCTTATCAGTAGATAATTTGACATTCTTCAGCCTGGCATTACCTCATCCAGATTCTCCTTCAACACAGCTAATTGCTGAACACTGAAAGCGTAGGTCAGTATCCGAGAGAGATGATTCTCCAAAGAGACATTCTTCAGGCAAGCACGTAACTCCTCAGGATCGTAGTAAACAGGCATCAATTCATTGTTAAGAACCATCTCTGTTACCTGCTTGTCAGGCGGGCAACCTGTTGAAGCAATTATCAAATGTGCTCAGTGTTAAATCCTTTTGTTTCTGGAGAGGGACACACTTATCTTGAGTGACCTGCCACCAAGTGTTTCACAGTTCAACTCAGACACATTTAGGGAGACCCACAAGCACTGGGGGCAACCGAGAGCAGGGGGAACGCTGCCATTATGGATCAGATAAAGCTTCCATACCATCAGCACGCTTATGCCTAGTAGGCAGGAGTTCTTCAACAACAGTGGCCAGCTGTTCCCTCGACAGAGGTGAATCGTGTGCAAAGTTTTTCAGCCAATGAGTTAAAGCATCCTGCAAGAAAAATGTTTCATCAGGGGATACTGCAATCTTGGGCGTAACACTAGCATCACAAGTAGCCACACAGAGACAAGAAACTTCATCATTAAAGTACTACAGGCAACAGACCTGCTGCTGTAAGCCCAAAGATCTTTCCTTGGTGACCCAAAGGCAAATTTCTAAATGCTTAAGCTCTATCATATCCCATGTCCCATAAATGATTTTACCACCTCACAAAGCATTGTATAGAGGTACTACCACTTCCCACCTCTGGTACTCTTGCAGCAGTTGCAGGAAGAGGATGACAGTGATCTAGATTGGCAGTTCCAGGCTGTCAGTTTGATCAACCCTCACTTCTCACAGATCACCCATCCATCCCCTTTGGCACCACACTTTTAAATGAAGATGCTACTGAAAATGCATCGGCTGAACAATCCCCATCAAACTTTTCCAGGCACCCCAAACTCCCCACACCTCTGTGAATAACCCACCTTGGGGATCTTCTGAAAGATGCTGTGATCAAACAGAGGAATCAATCCACTGAGCTCATTCAAGGTAAAAGCTGACCATGTTACAGGAGGCCTGCATACAAAAATTAGCAGAGATCAGCTTTCAAGAAAGAACAACAGAAAAAACAGCTTAAAAGATGCTAGAGTTATGTCCTTGTAACATTTGAACTTAAGAAAACACAAGTGTTAAACCCTAAAGCTTTTCAATCACTTCCTGTTACACAAAACCTCATTTCACCAGAGCAGGAGGAATTTTTAGTAATATGAATAAGGGCAGCTGGATGGGAAAAAAGCATTTAACAAATACATTGTTTTCTTAAGCATGAAACTCAAAGAGTATCTATTGGTACTATCACCCAATTCAGTGCCAAGATCTCAGGGCATTTGACACAGGAAGGGAAAAATATTTTGCCTCCTTGGACAATGTCTCTCTTGGCTATAGTCAGAAATTTATCAAGCATGTGTCACTGGCAGGTGAAACCAGAATGTTTTCTGAAAGTCAGTGGCTGACAAACACCTAGAGTCCACCTGTGTTCATTAGGACAGTCTTAGAGAAGTTTGGTTCATGAAAAATAAACCAGAGGAAAGGCTTTTCTAACTAGAGCAGGTGAGAGACAGAAGTGACAATGTATTTTTCAGTGGAATTCCAGTCAAACCTTTCAGCTGAAAGACATTCAAATAAAACAAATCTAAAAGGCCCAATGTGAAATTCAGAAGCAACAAATTACTCAAGTTTTTGGTCAAGCTGGTTGGCTAGAGTTCACTCAGCTCTTAATAAAACAATGGTTTTGTTTAAGAGAACTGTTTTGCTGATTCTCAGAAGAAAAATTCATACCCAAATGTAGTGTTACCACTGCTGATGACACTCCTAATCGCCTCTTCTTGATCAGGCAGGAAAGAGTCGCACTGACTTAATCGCTTCAGCAAATTCCCACCAGAATTTCTGATGTATTCTCCACCCAGGTCACAGACCAGACGTCCCAGAATCTCTGCGTCTTCCTCATTCACTTCTGTGCCAGGAATTTTCTGAAATAATACAAGATAGAGGCGTTAGAGAGAACTGGATGCCACTGCAGAAGCACATTCTTGTTCCTGCTGACAGCTGACAAGCCCAAGTTCTCCCCAGTCTTGTGCAGAGCTGTCCCTGACCACGTACCAGACATGCTAAAGCTCCCAAGAGCAGCTGTTTCCGCTGAGATGATTCTCTTTGCAGAATGTCAAGATTTGCTTTCCCAAGATTAGCAAAGTACTGCCTACAGCTTCCTGTCGCTGCATAGTCTGAAGGACTAGAAAGACAAAAACTTCATGAATTCTAGTGAAAGGTATCAGTTGGTCAGGTTCAAGGCTGTTCACCATATACCGTGTCCAATATAACACCTTCCACATCCACAGACTAAACTGTGCACCTGTTGGTCCCAAAGATCCTACTCCACATTTTTTAAAAATTTGTTTTCACCTTAAGGAATCTATTGTGTGACTCAGCTTAAAATTGTTCAAGATTTGGATACAGAATCACAGTGGGTAGCTACCAGAACAAAGAAATCCACTCTACTGTCTGTTACCTTTGATGTTGGTAGAGAAAAGCACAATTACAGAGGCCAGAACGTACTAAAAACACATACTGATTTCATATCCAAACAGACATATTTAGAAAGAGCTTCATACTGTTTATATTAACATGATGGAAGGTTGAATCTGAAGGGACCTTAAAACCCCTTTGCAAGCTTTCTGCAATCCGATTATTTTTTTTTCCCCCCCTGTAAGGAGGCCTGAACAGGTTTGAAATATATATCAAACATGAACCTGTCATCACCAGCTAGCTTATAAAGTAATTTTTCCCACTAAGTACTATGGCAACAAGACGAAAACCATTTCACAGTTACCTTAAAAACAGCAACAGGTCTTTAGGATAGCTATCTAAATCCTCAGGAATCCCATGCAGCGTCACCATCTTCACTAAGCAACTCAGCTGAAAGGACACCACAGTTTACATTGAAGATAGAAACCAGCATGAAAATGTAAGAAAAAATAAGACAGATATAAAGATTTTACTCTGCTCCAAAGTGAAGGGGAAAAAAAAAAAAAAAAAAAAGACACATATCAGAGGTTTTGGTTCCTGACTTCTCCTCTCTTCAGGGAAATTTGGAACTGTGGGATGGAGACCCAGGAGCAGTTACATTTGTACTAGTCCCTTAAGCTGAGAGTGTTTTTGTTCTTGCTGAACAATCCTTGTTGCGATCTTAACAACATCATCAAACATGACATTTCGAAATACAGGAACTGACCTGGTCTTCTCCTAGCTTAACATTCTTCCTCGTCATGACTTTGGCCAGCTCCTGAAATCTGTCTTCTTCCATCTTAGCTGCACATGTGAAGCCTTGGAGGACTGACTGGGAAAGCCTGAACGTTTACAGAAGGCAAATCAGAAAGGCAAGGAGTTCAGGAGAAAATTCAGTGCTGATCTTCTACATATATAGTGACAAAACAACAAGCATAAACCTCCCTCATTCTCAAAACTTAATTCTCTCCAAACTCCATTCCCTCAAAACTGCTAGTTGACCTACATGGGAGAAGAAGCAGCCACCATCAGTGAAATCAATATAAACTGGAGACTCGCAGTGGAAGGAGAAGCACAGGGACAAACTCTCCACCCCAAGTAGTATCGCTGTATCCTGAATTACAAGATCAGCCTCCCTCCTGTGTTTCCAGCACACATTACATGTTGAAAGCAAAAGGGAGTTGTGCAAATCCTCATCACTGAATACAGTTAGCACAGTCTGGGAGAGGTCAGGGAAAAGTCCTTAAAACTTGAATTGCTTTCTATATGGAAAAGCTTCTGTTGTGAAACCAGCAGGACAATGATGTTGACTCCATTGTTTTTTCCATATATATATATAACGGATTTCATAATTTTTCATCTCAGATATGAGAACTGACAGAAGATATCTATCAGCTCCGCAAATTTAATTCCTGGAGTAGCAAGACTGACATATTCTTTGATTAGAAGTGCCTTCCACAGGGGCAGGAAGAAGCAAGGTTCCAGGTGCAGTCTGAACCAGCAGCATCATTTTAGAAATCAAGTGTGGCTTACAGGTATATTTTGCAGCTGACACCCTGGTAAATCTTGGTGCTACATTCCTGTGCTTTGGTTTGCAAGGTACTCCCCATCTGCTGCTATGGATTGAATATGGTGGGTCTGCTGTACATACCAAAGGGAACATGGAAACTGCAATTAAAGGAAACATGGAAAACGGAAGAAGAAAAACGCTACCTGCTGAAGTCAGGTTCTGCCTTTATCACATCACTGAAAAACATGGCAGCCTGTGAAGCAAAGCAAGAGTGTCAGTGCCTTACCAGGCTCCTTTGCAACATTCACCTGTATTTTCATACAGATTTTCAGAGCGGACTCATAGCTCTGTAGAGCCCAAGGCTGATGCTGAGGGGCAAGAAGGACACAAGCCACTACCATGTTACCTGTTCTCTGGTCCACGTTTTACTGTTGAGATCCTGAATATTGGGCTTCTCTTCCCCAAAAACAAGCAATGATTTTGGAATGTAACTGGCCAGAGCATCAGGGATATATTTCACCAGGTCACCAGGGTGGCCTACACTGGAGGAAATCTTTTAAAAAAACAAACAAAAATGTATCATTCAAACACTGTGGCTAAAATAAACAATTGCTAGAGAAGAAATGATGAGCTGAAAAGAAGCCAGGCAAATTCCCCTGCTGATCATCTGGGCATTTCTCAGAGACCTAACACTATGAAATATTTCCTGTTTCACATATTCATGAGAATAGGAGAGCTGTGTAGAGCTAATACCTGGGGTCTGGGTGAATGGGAATGATTCTTATCAGTTTCCCACCTCCTGGCTTTATGCCCTAAAAATGTTTAACCAGCCAAAAAGGAGGGACAGGTCTTTCTTTCCTCTCTGCCAACCCAAACAATGTCTCAGCTTGCAGAACAATGTTGTGGCAGTAGATGTTATTTCCCCAGTGCTTCACATAGAGCCCTGGCTGCCCCATGGCCCCAGGACATGCTGCAGGCAGGGCCTCTGGTGCCAAACACAGGTCAGAGTCTTTCCTACCAAAGGGAGGATGAATAACAGAGTCTTTCCTACCAAAGAGAGGATGAATAACTCCAACACTACACATGCACCTTGAAGGTTAAAATCAGGGTGAGAAAAAAGGCAAAGAGGTGTCCAAACCAGACACAATCACATGGGGGGACAAAATGGTGTATTGCTGAGGATCAGTCTACTCTAAAAGGGACTTTCTAAGCTACCTTTACTTCTCAGACATTCTTACTCCAAAACATGACAATATCCTTTCTCTGGGAGCATCTTTTCAAATCAGTGGGAAGTAGTTTCTAGGAGTACCCTGTAAAACAACTGTCTCTTCTGCCCTCATCCCCAGGAGGCTTAGCAGGACACTCTGGCTGGCAGCCAGGGACACCTACACAAGCACAGTGACAGGGACATGAGATGCCTGTCCTGCTAAACACTCTGTTTAGCAATGACAAACACCCCCATGGGAATGCTGTCTGGGTGTGGGAGGGTGTGCCTGGCCCCAGGTAACCAGTGTTCTTAGCTGTGAGTCACCAGAGCTTTGCTAATTTATGATGCCTGAAGAGAAAAACAACTTTACCTTTTCCACAAATGTCATTTTCAGAGCAGAGGGCAGGGTCACCATTCGCTGGACAAACTCAGGCAACTTAATGGCTTCCAAGATCACTTCTGAAGACAGACTTCGAAGTGTGCTGCTGTTGAGACCAGCCACCAAGCTCCCTAGCTTTGCCAGGCTCTGTCCATCTGGGATCTGAAAGGTAACATGCGCAGGCTTGCGTATGTGAAGAGTCAAACATCACTTGCTGGCAGGCAGCTATATCATTTGTGGACTTTATCCTCCATACCTGATAGCCAGAGCTGAGCAGTTTGTTGATAATAGCACTGGACTGCTCAGGGCTCCATCCACGAACTTCCCCCAGGGCAGGAATTGATGCTTCAAGGTCTTTATCACTGATGCTGTTAATGTCAGATATGGACAGACCAACTGCAGCCTGGCCCAATGCACGCAGGATTGCAGGAGGGAAACGCTCAAACTTTCTCACCAACGAGGATGCAACCTGAAAAAGTCCCACATGGGCAGAAAGTCAAAGGAGCAGTGAGGTGAGCCTATCGGATCCTACAGCCTTTGGAGGTCTTAAATCACTGGACTTTCTGCCTCAAACTTGTGTGATGCAGCCTGTTGATGGGCTGACTCCACCCACTGGGAATTTACAGATGATGAAACACCAGCCAGACGCCACAATAAAAAAAAAAATCAAGAGGACCTGCAGAAGTTTACAGAAGAGGAGACATGAGAGTTGAACCCTCAACCCTCACAAATTTTGTCTAGGTGAGTGAAGAACTGAGTCACAGGGCTGGACGGGATTACCTGCAGTTCCTCTGTTGTCAGGGAGGAGGGAGCTCTCTTTCTAGTTATTCCTCTGTGTGTCGAGTTCAACGGGCAGTTCTTGCTGATCCTCTGGGCCAAGCTCAAAGCGTCATCTCTGCTCAGGTTGCTCACTGCTGAGGGCCTCAGGTAGCAAACAAATCTGTCTGGGAGACTGCAGGTGGGTGACAAGGAGGAGAGGTTGCTGCTATGACAGACGGTGGCTCTGTCAAATCTTTCCTCTTTTTCCAAAGGATGCTCTTTTCTAGTGCACATTTCCCCCAATTCATTTTAGCTCTGATGCTCGTGTTTACAGAGAGCAGTGCTGTGCCTTGCAAAACCACAAAAGCACATAAGATGTGCTGTTGGTCATTAGCTGGTGGCTGGCACTGCATGACAGTCATTACCCCAGACTTGGAACTCAGGGTCTGGCTCTTCCCATGATCAAGTGCAGCGCAATTATATGAGAAACAGAAAAATGCTTTAAAGGTTTCATAGAAGCAGCCATCAGAATCACCACTCAACAAACTGTCACTAAGTTTTGCTGGCGGTTCCACGTTAACCTGTAAGCCGAGTAGGAAGTCAGGTCAGGTCCCGTACCTCGATAAGGAGAAACCAGGCCCAGAGGTCAGTAGCCAGGTATAGTACACAGCTGTCTCCCGGAGCAAGGTGAGGTTGCTGATCATTTCCATATTGACTGGATCTCTGGCAAATTTTTGAAGCTGAGGGTGTTGACGTGAGAAAAAAAATAAATAAATTAGATGGATACTTTAATCCCAACAGTCACTTGAGACAGTTTGAACAAACCTCACTTCACAAAATAAGTGTTTTTTCACCTAGCTTTAAAGTTGTGAGGAAATTTATTTTTTAATTAATAGATTAGGACTTTGTTTTATTTATCTTTGCATTCTGAAGGCATGGAAGCCTCTCTGTGACTGCTGTAAGGCACAAAGGTGAGAGAGCTGCTAAAGAACATGGCCCTGCCCCTACAGAACCACTCACACATGCAGGCCTAGAACAGTCATTCACTAAACCAGGCCCAGACATTGGTCCAGTCTTGAGATAAAGTTTGGGTTTGCTCTCTTACTGACTCCAGTTTGCCTTCTGCAGAACTACCTATGTGAAACCAACTTCTGTGCAAGTGCCTGTTATCACAAGAAATCATGATGTGAGAAAAAATAAGAACTGAAGTGACTGTTCACCAAAAATAAACAAAAGAAATGTTCCTGCTAGCAGCATCTCCACGAACTTTGGTCAGGGCAGGAAGACAACTTCCCAGGCACAGAGTCTTTTGCACACTGAAGGTTCTTCATCACCATGATGAGCCTGAACTTACCGTTGGTTCATCAGCAAAAAGCTGCAGGTCTCCAACAGTAGCATGCTCCAAAAATGATCCAAGATAGTTTTGAAACCAAGCAGTCGAATTCAGACCCGGAACAGCTGCACTGTAGCATTTCTGCTTTGATCCTGCAAAACAGGCAGAAGCCACAAAACTACAGACTTGCATTCTATCAGGAAATCAGCTGGAGATTGGAGACTTCCGAATGAGGAACAGGTTTCAGTCTACAAGAGAACTCAGTCAGCAGAGAGCTCCCTAAGTGCCTCTGATCACACATGATGCTCAAATCCATGTGGTCGTGCATTCAGATTACAAATGCACATGGACAGGGCAGAGGCCTCCTTTCACAGCCCTCCAAATATTTCATCACCAGTCTCTTTCCTCCTCCCTTCAAATCTGCCAAAAACTTTTTGCAGGACATTACATTTCTGCACATGAGCTACTGCCTGGAGACAGGGGAGTGTCTTACCTGGGTCTCCTTTCTGAGCTGAATTCTTTAGAGCTCTCAGAACCAAACTCTGCGCTGTTCTTTCTCAACAAAAAAATGCCATTTGCACAGGATGTAAATCAGCATAGGACTGACTCTGCTGATTTATAAAAATCCTGGATTGATGAAGCCTTCAGGCAGGGAAATTATTTCTGATATAATACCACTTATCACTGTCACACTCTCAGCATATTTCCACTGAAGAGATAATATAAATTTAGGAAAAAAAAAAAAAATCTGTGAAGCCTCAGCCCTGTAATAGATCACAGCTAATGTTGTAGCATACATCAGCAGCTTAAAGCATTCTGTTGTTTCTTAAAGAAAATCAAGTAATTTACCATCCTGGATGAGGTAATATTTGATCCCAGCATAAAGATTCCTCTGTTCTCCCACTGGAAGGTCAGAATATATGCCATTCAGGGCAGAAACTCTAAAGGTGGATAAGAAAGGCAGATATCTCAAACACAGATGAAGTCAAACCTGGTAGGGTTGGATTCTCATAGAAACAGCTCTTTTTTTTTTTTATATATTATCAATCACATCCCTTTTCAAAGCTACCAATGTGGTTTCCCTTCACAGCAGCCCCCATGATCATCCCAGGGCTGCACTGCCCACCCTGTGATACCGCTTTGGGAACGCAGCGCAACCAGGGTCATCCCCCATACGCTGACTGACACAAGAGATCAGTTCCAGGGGCTGCAGGGGTGTTACAAAGCCTTGGGGAGAGCTGCTCAAAAACTGAGCTGGGGCCTCCAGCGCTTGTGGGGTTTAGCCCCTTGCTTTGGGAGGCTGGAGTCCCTTTCCTATCGCAGCAATGCAGGGCTGAAACAATGGTTGTGTTCAGCACTTACATCATCAAAAATGTCTCGCACAACACGTTTTTGGCATGGAGGCAAGCAAAGACCTTGGGCTCGACCAGGAATGGCTGAAGCCCCTCATGGACCCACTGAGACAGAACGGGTGGGCTGCCAATGTCAGGTACTTGCAGCATCCTCTCCCACAGGCCATTGATGAAGATCATGTTCCACTCGAGAGAAAGAGGCACATGAGAAAACTGAAGGCAAGAGGCGAGAAGAAACACATGAATTCAAGTGAATATGGACTTCTAAGCAAATATTAACATAAATCCATTTGAATCTGAACATTATGAACAGAATCACCCCTAGCAATAATCCCCTCTGGACAGCAACTCTTCCACCATAGCAATATTTATGCAATTCAAGAGCAGTCAGACTAAGTCACGTTGGAACCCCAGGTCTGTGTTGCCACTGCAATTAGCAACACACATGAGCTCATGGTTGTTATTCCTGTTTCCCAGTTATTTCTAACAGCACAGAACTCTGCTATGTTGGTGGAGATCTGATTGAAATTGTGCCCTTTTTAAAATAAGGTAATGTTAAGGTAAAAAACAAGGTAATGTTTATTAAAGCCTTCCACTGGCAGTAACATTACAGATGAACAAACAGCTGGATATGTGATACCCACCCGCTGGCTGAACATAGTCAGAGCAGCTACAAGCTTCTTGGCATTATATTTGGAAAAGAACAGAACAGAGTATTCTGGATCCACAGCACTGGCAGGTTTAGGGGTAAGGCAAGAATATAAGGATATGAGGAAATCATCCTGAAGGTCCTGGAGCCAAGTACTCTGAAAAAAAGGAAATCCATATAGAGACAATTAAAGATGTGTCATATTTAGAGATGCTGCAGTATGCAATCTCTTTCAGGTCGGACTCACTAGCTCACCTACACATAAGCATTCAGCATGGGAAGGTGATGAAACCTGTTGACAGAAGAGTCAGAAGAAAGCCCAACTTACACTGACTTAAAGCAAGTTTAATATTACCCAGTTCCAAATGCTGGAATGCTGGATCTTTTTGTTACCTGATCTGTGCTCCTCACAAGCAAATGGTGGCTTTAAAAAACTGTATTCAAAATGGTTTTCCACCAAAAAAAAAAAAAAAAGCGCCATTTAATCAAAGTAGAAACTTCCATAGGGAACTTCCTCATTTCAGAAACATTTTTCAGTGATAAAAATCCAAACAAAAACCCCACATACAAATATTTGAAGAAATTACATCTTTTTGTTAGAAACATTTATGGGAAAATACAAATTGTTGTCAATTCAATTGCAACTACTGGCAGCACAACAACTTAGAGATAATGACAAAAGCAAGAAAGGAAGTAAACCTGAAATACTCCAGATGACATTTTCCACACTGCAACTACTTTTTATTGTGTTTTTACCACTTCTTATCATGGTTTATCCCGATGGACCAGGGTCACTGTCATGCAGAGATTTGTTTCAGTGCTATGATGCCAGTTTTTAAGTACTGATTTGTTTTGGAAATCTCCTTTATCCCACCTTCTCACTTAAGAGGTTTGGAAAAGGCAGGATCCCCCATGTGCACAAACAGCCCCAGAACAGCCTCTACAGTGGCACAGCCACTCCTGAGCCTCACGACACAGAGCACGTGTTCCCTGGGAAGATGAGATTGCCACAGCTCGGTGCTCTGGATGGTCCCCGTGTCCCTGTGTGTTTGGCCCCATCCTTTCTCTCAGTCTTGTGAGGGAAATCTCACCAACCCAGCCCCTAAGCCTGCACCAGGCTCTGGCCACTTGCTTCACAGCTGATGGTAGGGCTGCTTTTAAGATGGAAACAGCACTATCGTCAAGGAAAACAAAACACTAGCTCATAGAAAGAAGGGGACTGCTGTTACCTTTGCGCAGGCGTATTGACTAAAAGTGAGGCTGCAGGGGGAAGCTTGGCCACGGGCTATCTTGAGAAGCATCTCCTGGCTGACACTGGTTGGAAAAAAGCAAAAGACATCACCTCCAGTGCCGCCAGCTGCCCCAGCCCTGCCACAGCTGGGGGCAGAACTGGCTGGGAGCTCACACTCTGTCAGCAGCAAGTCTCCAAATGCAGGAATGAAGCCCAGCTGCCCAAGCACGAGTCCAGGCAGCCAGAGAGAGGTTTAAACGCCCCTGACCACACTTTTTGTTCATGGAAGTTCTGTTCACCTGCATCAGGGAGAGATGTTAGCTACTCTGGTGTAAAGGATCCAGCCCACCCACTAAGGAGCAGGAGCAACGCCAGGCAGCCATAACAACAAGGCACAGCCCACATAACAAATACAGAAGGACAAACAAACAACACAGATAATAAGAATTATTTGCTATCATCATTTGGGAGCAGGGAGACTTGTAAATTGTTGACCTTTTGGTAGAAATCAAGTTCAATGAAGGCTTGAACCGGACCTGTTTGAGTCTCAGGCCCCCACCAATAGCCATCCAAGCTCAGCACCAATGCCAAGGTTCTTGGAGAGGAAAATACCCATGGCGTCAGGCTGGCTGACACACCAGGGACTTGCCCTGCCTTTCTTTGTCCTTCACACAGAGCCCCAGGAAGGTATTTTCCCTTCACTGTTTCAATAAGCACAACTAGAGCCCTCCCTGCCCACAGGCAACCCTGGGACTTTGTGGGGAGAAAGATGTTACACCTCCTCTCAGAGGCTTCCTGCTACTTGAAGTGACATCCCCAACAATCCAGTATCACTCCCAGGGAAAACGCTGCCAAGATAGTTTGCTGATGGTTCACATACCTTTTCACTGAAGCACACATGGCAGATTCTGCTTCCCCAAAAAAAGAAAAAGGGACAAAGATAAAGGAACTGTGATAGGAATATGTATACAGAAGCATGTCTGAATCTTCTTTAAGGAAATTACTTGGCAAGACACTCACCGTTGACAGGGGAGCTGGAGCACTGCACCAGGAGAAAGAAAGAAAAGAGATGATCTTATCGTACAGGTACATGGTAGCACAACATTACTTGTGATCATTCCGTACAGATAAGCACATTAGCTGCAACCGTTTGTACTTGGATCTGGCCTGAAAACACACAAGTGCCCAGATCCAGATCTCTCATCTTGCCACACTAGGGAGCTGTCACCTGCAAAATTCACATTAGTACTGGCTCTGTACTTCAAACAGCTGGAAGGAAGGTCCAGGGTTGTGTGAGTCCTCCCATCGCTCAGGCATGAGGCCAGTGGGATAGACTGTCCTGAACTGAGTGGGGCTGGTGGGTGTTACCACCACTGAACTGTCTAGTGATGTTCTTGCACTGAAGCCCTATAAAGACCTGAAAAAGCCACCCGCACTCCCCTTGCTGCTTGGGAGACAAAGGGGAAGGGCACTTTCCACCCACCTCCGTGCTCAGTGCACTGGATCTGGCTTGCAACAATGGATTCCCACCAGTGCCCTGCTATCAGGAAGGGGCCCACACTAACCACCAACCCACACACGCTTTGCAAGTAAAGACACGGATGACATATTTTAAACACGGGAGTTTGCCTTACCAGGTATGTCCCAGCAGAAGTTGCAGCAGCTCCCTGCCAGCCTAGAAGACAACATAGTGTGATTTTAGGAACAAATCCAGGACAAAGCTCATTCCCACAGTCCAGCCCCTGTCTGGCTTAACAGACCCTGAACACCACCCATCTCACTACATTATTTTTTCCTCATTCTTGACACAGTATTTCACAGAATCATGTCTGTTACACCTTTCTGTTGGTTTCTCTTCGACTCTGGGACAGCTGCCTGGGTGAACAGACATGAGGTACTCCTCTATCCACTCAGGTCAGTCTGGCAGGGGACAGAAATGTGGTCTCTAGATGATATAATGGATAGCAGGCACCTCTATCCCCAAAGAGCAAAAGGCAGGGACAGTGGCAGAAACAACTCTAGGGATAGCTTTTCTCTTCAAGACTTCCTTGCCCACTATCCCTCATGTACCATATCCAGCCCATGGTCAAGAATCAGCCTGGGAGACTGAGCTCCCCATGCTTATACCTCCATGTTGGTTTTAGGTTTGCAGCTTCTACTTGTTTCTTACAGTGTCCCTATCAACATGTCCATTGTAGCCAAGCCTGTGTTGTATTTAATTAATTTTTCCTGCAAAGTCCTCAACTGGATTAAAATCCTGCTTGAGAGTTTGACAGGCATTCACTGGAAGAAGCCAACCTGTCACTGCTGACTCCTGGCAGGTTTGTATAAGTCCTCCACTTGTTCCTTGTTTCCCAACTTTTGCATTGTTCCTGATAGCAAATTAAATCTCCCCTGCCAATGCCATGAAGCTAGAAAGGTGGTGAAGTGCAAGCTTAGGAACAGTAACAACACACAGAGACTCAAATCTCCCTGGTATTAGTATTATTTACTTCAGATTAGGAGCCTGCCAAGCTCAGCATCTTCTGTGTACGGAAAAAAAGGGGAAAGTAGAGACTTCCCACTAGTTTCTGACAGGACAGAACAAGTCAATGCAAGAAACACTACATGAAATGAGAGGCAGGGAGAGGGAGAAGGCAACAGTTAGAGGGTTCTGAGGTTAGGCTGCCAGGCTGTCACAATTTACCAGCACTGAATCACTGCACAATTGTTTGTTTCTCTAATGGCACACTTGGGACTCGTGGTCAGCACTATCACCATCCCCATCTCCTGGAGCAGCTGTGCCCAATCTCAGCCCAGGTGAGGCAGCAGAGCCCTGCAGAGCTGTCTGCCACAGCCTCCCCTGCCCATGCGTGCCCACCATGCCACATGACATGCCCAGTTTGCACCATTCTCCTCCCAACCTTTAGCTACATCCTCCAACCCATCTCGGTGCACAGCAGACCACAGCAAGCCCAGCTGCCCTGCAGCCCTGAGCACCCCCCTTCTGTGCAAGCCTTATTCACCTGCTCAAGGAGTAACCCAGCACTGAGGTTCAGAAGTTCTCTCTCAGCAGGGAGGACGACACCAACTTTAGTGACTTTGGACCAGGCACTGTAGCTGACAGGAGGCTGAAGTGGCTACAGAGATCATGTCTCATCTCCTGGACCCATGGACCAGATAGCCTAGGGCTGGCTGAGCAGTGCCCAGCATGCATGTGGAGGTGTGGTAGAGCTCAGGTTCAGCACAATTGCTCCATGGCTCTAACGCGTCAGTGACTCCCAGCCTTCATACCCCTCCTGGGGGAAGCATGGTCAGGATCGGTGCGATCTACAAATATTTGGTCAGAAGTGACTCATGAGGGCAAATGTGGAGGAGCTGAGCCCCAAAACCAAAACCCAGAAGCAACCTCCTGTGATTCCTCCACACCATATGGCTATGGGACTGTGCTAAACCAGCCCAGGACAGCGTCAGTCAAACCCACGGTGATACTTGGGCACAGAAAACAACAGGATGGGAGACCCTTATCACTGAACTGTGACAGGGAAGGAGAGGAGGAAGGTAGCGGCTTTCCTGGCTTGGATGTGTTCACCACCCTAATGACCTGAATTAGGAAGGGGATTATAAAATAGCTTGCAGAGATGGACAAGAGAAGTCCCTAATTAGTATAACAGCTTTTTTGATTACTAACTACTATACGGTTTTGGTCATTTAATTAATGAGAATTGTCACTAAGTAACAGGCAAAGAAAACACACTCATAGCTGGGCAAATGCAGCCTTAACACACATTAACTTTACTCCTAGAGAATGTCCTGAATGAGTTACCAAAATAGTAACCAGGAGTTCAGTGCCAGAGGCTGGCCCTGAGGCCATGCTCCCCTGCTTGCAGACAAAGCTGGGCTGTTTCCACCGTGAGAATTGCTTCCTGCTCACCTCAGGAATGGACCTTGGAAACAGAGCCAAGCCCTTTGGCCCCACTCTTGGAAAGCTCTTACATATACATTTAACTTTAAGCATGAAGATCGACTCATTGACTCAAAGAGCAGTGTTCAGAAACACCCCTGTGCAAGAAAGAAGAAGAGGAAGGGTGGTTTCTCTGTCTACGAGATCAAAGAGGACCCCAACTTACTACCACACAAATCCTTGTTGTATGGCCACAAATCCTTCACCTCACAACATCACAACAAAGGCTATGGACTGTGCTCGTGTCATGAACCACTTCATATATGTGTGCATCACTCTGGGAACAGTTATCTTTCTAAACACTGCTTTCCCTCCCACGCCTTGATAGTGCACAGGCATGCTAGGCTGTGGGGAAGCCTTCCACAGGGGAAGAGAATGTCTCCTTCACCTATGTATGCTGTGCTGTTCCCAGTTCAACTGCTCTCCACAGTCCCTCCTCCTCCATGAGGGCACTTCTGTGCCACGAGGTTGCTGAGCACTGCCTGGTCTCCCACTGCCTCTTTACAACAAGGCCATTCACACTGACATAGTGGCAATGCTATGCTTAGATGTCCTCTCCTTCCCCTTCAGAAACCTGTGTATGGACTCTCAGAAACTTGTGTTTTCTTTCTTCTCTCTAATCCATCCCCAAAAGGGCAGTGCACGCAAGTTCTTGGATGCAAATTCTCTACAAGCTCAGCACATTTCTCATACTCTGCCTTCCCTCTGTCTCTAGTTTTCTATGGTAGATGGATGGGGACAAGCATGGCCCAAAGAAATGGAACTATTTCCCATAGCTGAATGCTGAGCCAGCGGCCAGCATGAGAACATACCAACAAAATGACTGACCTGCCAGACTTAAAAGCATTTGCATTAAGAGTCATTAACTTTTACAAGCAGCCTGTGTACTTCTGCTGGACAGAGACATCCCTCCCTGTACAGGATGTTAACAGAGAATTGGGAAAACATTACATTTTCATCAGGGTGTCTCTAATACACTGGTCAGTTTTGAACAGGATCAACAGCTTAATTAGAAAAATAAAGAGAAAAAAAAAAAGAGTTATCTGTGTATTTGTTTTCCTTCCTAGTACTGATAACTAAGCTAACTGCAGAGAAAATGATGGTCCCTTTATGTAGCTGTCCCCAGTTGGTGGCTCATTAGCTTGTTCACAAGTTCACGTTTTATTGTTATCAGTGTGTCCATACCTAGACTTGTGCAAAGCCTCTGACACTGTCCCACATGACATCCTTGTCTCTAAATTGAAGAGATGTGACTTTGATGGATGAACCACTCAGTGGACTAGGAATTGGCTGGATGGTCACACTCAAAGAGCTGCGGTCTGTGGCTCGATGTCCCAGTGGAGAGCAGTGACAAGTGGTGTCCCCAGGGCTCAGGACTGGGACTGATGCTTTTTAACATCATTGTTGGTGACATGGACAGTGGGATCGAGGCACCCTCAGCAAGTTCACCAACACCACCAAGCTGTGTGTTGTGGGGACACGCTGTAGGGAAGGGATGTGCCATCCAGAGGGACCTGGACAGGCTGGAGAGGTGGGACCACACGAACCTCATGGAGATCAACAAGGCCAAGGACAAGGTCCTGCACATGGGTTGGGGCAATCCCAAGCACAAACACAGGCCGGGCGAGGAGTGGATGGAGAGAAGGACTTGGGGGTGTTGGTCATTCAACACAACCCAACAAAGTGCATTTGCAGCCCAAAAAGGCAACCGTGTGCTGGGCTGCACCCAGAGCAGTGCGGGCAGCAGGTCGAGGGAGGGGATCCTCCCCCTCTGCTCTGCTCTCATGAGACCCCCCTGAGGTGCTGGGTCCAGCTCTGGAGGCACCAACATCAGAAGGACATGGGCCTGCTTGAGTGGGTCCAGAGGAGGCCACGAAGATGCTCAGGGGGCTGGAACACCCCCCTGTGAGGACAGGCTGAGAGAGTTGGGGGTTCAGCTGGAGAAGAGAAGGCTCCGGGGAGACCTTAGAGCGGCCTCCCAGGGCTGAAAGGGGCTGCAGGAAAGGGGGGAGGGACTCGTCATCAGGGGTGTCGGGATAGGATGAGAGGTAACAGTCTTAAACAGAGAGGGCAGATTTAGATCAGATCTAAGGAAGAAATTCTTCCCTGTGAGGGTGGTGAGGCCCTGGCACAGGTTGCCCAGAGAAGCTGTGGTTGCCCCCTCCCTGGAAGGATTCAAGGCCCAGCTGGACGGGGCTTTGGGCAGCCTGGGCTAGTGGAAGGTGTCCCTGCCCATGATGGAGGGAGTGGGACTGGATGAGCTTTAAGGTCCCTTCTAACCCAAACTGTTCTATGATTCACTGAAAACATGATCTCAAGTCTGATGAGGAAGGAAAAATAAAGCACTGACACTTTGAAAGAAACAAAGATCCTGCTCTGGAATCCCTTACTACCAAAAAAACAGAGGGAAGGAAAATAGATGATTACAGATGTAATCACATTCAGCTAAGATTATTTCTTAAGTGCTTTCCCAGAGACACCTGGATAGTCCAACAGAAGGAGCAGTGAGCAGACAGCTCTACAATGACAAGAGAATGAATTTCAATTTCATCTTTCTACCCTGTTTATTATAAAAACTAATACATTTTGGTTCACAGATACAAAAATAAACAAGCATAAGTAAAGGCTGAGCATTTAGAGCAACTACCACAGTAATGTTGAATGGTGTTTCAGCACAACTTTCTCTTTTGAGGATTATCTCAACTACAGCTGTTGGTATGAAAAATCCTCTCGGGACACGATGGTAATACTCACCAAGCAAAAGGAGGAAGCCCAGCCCTGGGAGTAAAGGTGGCATTTCTGCAAAGGTCTTCAGAGCACCCACACATGCAGGGAATCACCTTATTTCAGCCAAGAAAAAAGTAAACACGAATAATACTTAATTGCAAAGCCAAACTCAGAGTAGACAAGTTAAAAGGTGACTGTCTGGCAAGTGAATGTATACGTGCTACACGCTTCACAAAACCTATCTGAAACCAGACCCAACGCACACAGAAAACTACTGAGGGTCTGCCGTGTCTCAGAGTTGTTGCCTGAAGAGAATTCAGGGTTAGTTAAGCTAGATTCAGTGCTGTCAGTGCCTCAAAGTCAGGCTCCCCTGTGGCAGAAGAGGGTAGGAGGTTGCACAACCCTGCTCGAGGAGGGGGCTAGCTGTGGCACTTACCTCTGAGCCGCTAGTCGCTGGGCACTCTGTGTGCAGGATCGTAGAGGGCTGCTTTTCACTGAGCAAACCAGGGCGTGTCCCTGGTTTCTCAAAACTGCATCTGAAATTACAGGATGGATTTGGAGCACTGGACACACCTATAAGTTCTTGAGAATACAAAAGTTTAGCAGTACAAATAAACGTGTGTTATTTGTTAATGCTTGTCATTCCTAGGATACAGTAGGAAACACTGTACCTGAAGCAAGGCTGCCTGGAGTGAGCAGGATGAGAGCAGTGAATAGGTGCCTTCCCTCCCTGCCCTGCACGGGATGTGTTTGGCATTTACAGGAGGCAATAAAGCTGTGCTCCCAGGAGAGAGCTGCTCTAGGACCACTTTCCTCCAAGTACTAAAGAAATGTTTGTCATCATGAAATGTTGTTTCAGTGGAGCTTAAAGTGTTTAGCCCTTTTATTGAAATTTCTGCTTACCCTAGTCGTCTCCAGCTGGAAAACCCAAAGAGAAATACATGGCAGATCCTCCGCTGGCCTGCCAGGCCACTTTCAGATCACAGGCACGTCAAACTGGGAACTCTGCTCCAGGCTCATCATGGTAATCAACTGAAACACAGAGCTCTCCACTCAAATAGAGGAATCAGGGTAGCTGAAATCAAAAAATGCAGCCCTGAGGCAGGCTAAGGCTAGGACTGGTGCAGGCAAATCCTGTAGCAAGGGCATGTATCTTATTTCCTTGATGAACTTGTCCTTGCTGAGGTGCTCAGGGCACACTGGCCTCATGCCAAGGTGCCCAGCATACGCACCCAAGTACCATGTGGGCTCTTGTATCAGCACCCACTGTAGCAGCTCTATAGCACTCACAGCATTACAGCAATGAGACCACTGAGCAGGAAAAGTCATTATCCAATAGCTCCAGAATTGTAATCTCAGAGATCTGTCTCCTCATCACCAGAAGTGCCTTTCAACAAACCTTCATTTATCTCCCCACTGCAAAAATCCTAAGACATAACTTTATGGGCTTTCCAATTCCTGCAGGCAGTTCTATTTTAAAAACCAAACAACATCCTTAATAGAGAGACCATATGTAGTTTTAAGGGGTGTTTACAGAATCACAGAATCATCTAGGCTGGAAAAGACCTTGAAGATCATCTAGTCCAACCATTAACCTTACATTGACCGTTCTCAATGTTTATGCAGTAACTGCATGCTGCAGGAGCTGAGGAACGGCTTTGCTCTGCTCCCTCAGCTGAATCACATGTGGTGGTGTTTCCCATGATCTCCCCAGACCTGTGCATCAGCCATCAGGACAGTCTTCTGATTTTGACTGAATTTGGGTTCTCCTCAAGCTGTCAGCCTGTGAGTACTTCATCAAGAAAAACTTGGCAAGCATAATCTGCAAGAATAAAAATGAGCCCTGCTGCAAATTCTAGCAAGGGATGGATATTCCACCCATTTCAGACTTTTCTTCACTGACCCTTGGATCTGATCCCCCAAGTCACTAAAGTTCCCACAGTAACTCTCTCAATTTCTCTGGACACAGCAGAGTAATTTTGCATCCTCAGATTTGAAAAATCTTTGGTCACTTTACTGATGCTTTTCAAGACAAGTTTTGTCCCAGGCTTAGGCTTGTCCCATCATGCCCACCTCATGTGTTTGTGGTGACACTGAGAAAAGCCAGTGTTGACTCACACCACCACCATGTACCCAAACCCCAGCTCCCTCCACACTCCCAGTCTTCTTAGCAAGCTTAACATATTTATCAGCTATTTTGGAACTGGTGCAACACTGATTCATAGATGTAGTCTGTCTGACTCAGAATCCATCACATGCTCAACGTGAAAGTGACTCTCATCAACACCCATCCTAAGCTACCCAAATCTATAGAAACTTTAAATGCATCATTTGGAAGTAGTCAGATTCACTAGACTCCTAGTTCAAAGCAAGGAGCCTCTTCTCCAGGAGGTGTCCTTGAGATGGAGGTGGAACCTTCCATCAGGTTTCAAATACCAAAGCTTTCAGTGTTTTTTACCTTTTGGAAATCTGACATTGCAAGGAGGCTGACCGTGACAGAGGGTCACATAGGTGTGTGCTGCTGGGGAGCCCTGGACGTGCTGCTAGATGAACTGTGGGTCCATGTCAGAGTCAACAAAGCAGCAAAGACTGTGGGGCACAGCAGGGCTCTGCTGTCTGCAGCCAGAGCTAGAGCTCTTCTCCGGGGCATCAGGAGGTCAAACAGAACAGGAAGGATCTGAAAAGCAGAAAAAAACAACACTGAGCCTCGGCCACGAATGAGGAAACCAGGGGAGGGGGCAAGCGGAGTGTCAGGATTTTCTGCTCGTGTCAGCCAGGAAGTCATGCATACCTAAAGAGTGTTCGGAGCACCCCTGATACTGGGAGAGAAACCAGAGTTCACAAAGGCAAGGAGGACCTTTCATCTCTACACAAACCAATATTTTTCTTAGGTCTGTCCACAGGGTGGCCAAGCAGAAGCATCCAGCACCTGCCATGTGTGTTCATCCTTTAGTAGCTGTAAGCCACGAGCACAGATCCAGGAGTGATACGAACAGGAAGGTCTTTGATTCAAAAACACACAGTTGAGGAGATGAAGACAGACAGAGGAGTTCAAAAGTGGGAAGACAGGCAGTGACTCCCACACAGCAATAGGTGAGCTGCTATCACATTTTTTTCACACTTCATAGAAAAGCAAAATTCTTATAATTACATAGAATAAGGCTGGAGCTGATTTGTGGTATTGCATCTACCTGAGTAAGCCTAAGTGAGAGTTACAGCTCCCTAAAATAGGCCTCCAGCTAGAGGACTGTTACCTTTTGGATGTGATGCCACATCCAGCTTCATGACTTTGTAGCACCGAAAGCTGAGAGGAGCAGCTCAGCCTGTTGCAGGTTTTCCTGCACTCTCCAGATGCCAGCCTGGCCCAGCCCAGCGATGCAGCCCCGTTACCACAGGAGGCTCAGTGCAGCACGTGATTGCAGTTCTCAGCACAGGGCAAGGTCACCCTGATGGATGGCGAGAGGAGAACATCACAGTCTTGTACAAAGTGACACAACTCTGGAAAAACAGGTTTTATGCCCATAATTCAGCAATAACTTTCATGTTAACCAGAAGGGCTGTGGTCTAGGAGCTTTATTCTGAATATCTGAATATCCTTAGCAGCACACAGGGATCCAGGTGGCAACGGTGACTAAGCAAGAATGAGATATTTGCAGCCCATGCCTGGGCAGAGGAGTCTTTCAGGGGACAGAGCCTAGCACACCCTCAGCTACCACCTCCCCAGAAGCAGGCCTTTCCCTGACTTTACTCTCATCTGCACCATGTTCCCTTCCTAAGTACTGCTCTCCCCACCCTTGATGAACTTTTCTAATTTTGCAGCATCAGGCTTCTTGGCTGCAGGCAAATGGGAACACAGAGCAAGTAACAGGAATGCTGGTAATACTCGTTCATGGGAGACAACTAGAGATCTTGTCTTATCCAAGAAGTGTGGAGCTGGGGGGATCACCCGTAATAAAAACCATTTCTAGCTCAACACAGTCAAGCAGGAGACCTCTCTCTGCATCCCTTCCCTCTCACAGTCCTCCCTCTCCACAGGCTTCCTTTTCCCTAAACTGAGAATAATCCGATGCCTTCATGTCACCTCCCCCTTGTCTCAAACACATGAAGTTCCCGGTGAGAGCAAGCAGGGAGTGAAGCTCAGTTCTGCATCCGGATCTGTAACGCACACACCAGGAGGCTGGGGCAGGGGGGAGGCACTGACATCTGGAGCGGGACGGGTCTGCGATGCGTTGTACCAGGGGAAGATGAGTCAGTGCCTTCTCACCCGACCTGACTGTGCGTGTGCAGCATCAAGCACGGCTCAAGTGTTCTTCAGTAACACTGAATCGTACAACTGATGGCTGAGGTGTTCCTGCCATGTTAAGCCAGGTGTGGCAACAGACAATAAATCCTTCCCAATCCCTTCTCCACCTCGCACAGCACACACCCTGTTCAGCCCAAAGTAACTGCACTTCCCCATGTTTTTTTTTCATCCAGAACAAAAGGGGTTTTGTGCTTTCTCGGAAAAGCCAGGTCTCCAGTTTGCTCTGGAGAGCACCCTTACAGGATGGGGCTCAGGCTTTCACTAATGCCAGGCCACAGCCAAGCTCCTTTGTAACCTTGCAAGGGCCATCACAACTCACCAGGTCCAGGCAGCCCCACCAGTGCACTCCTTTTCATTAACCCTAAACACAGCATGTGACCCAGAATCAGACAGGTTTAAGAACAGGAACAACAGAGCACAAAATAAGAAAGCTTGCTGAAGAGAAACCAAAAGGGGTGGTTAAAATTCTTAAAACACTATAGGTAGTGTGAAATTATATAAAGGTGTGCTGAAGGCTGAAAACAAACACATACCACCTAGCAAAGAAAACTGAACTGTCAGAATAGAAAGGCAAAGGAGGCTACTGGGAGTAAGAAAGTATCTTTTAAAAACTTGAAGTCATTTTTCTGTTTCTTCATTAGTTGCTTCTTGAAGAGGGAATCTGTCAGGCCCCTGATGGGACAACACAACCCAGGTATAAAAAGGGAATCTGGAAATGTACAGCTCAAAATGGAAACAAAATTCATTCTTTGTATCCATGTCCACCACACCAGATTCCTTCACTATGTGAGCGCATCTAAGACTGAACCTCACACGTAGACACTGACAGAAGAGGTTACAGACAAATTGGCACCAAAATGCCTAGACCAGGCAGAGTACATCTAAGAGTCCTGAAAAGCACAACACAACAGAGCTGTGGTGTGAAACCATCAGCATTAATCACCCTTTGGACCACAGGTCAGAAGGTGACAGACAAAACAGCAGCTTTTAGGAAGATCATCAAAGCAGACTGGAGAGAACACCAGAAGGAAAGGGAGAGACATGAAGGTCAAGACTCAGCCTAGAGCTATCCTCTCCCCTTTGGTGGGGCAAGAAACAGACAGGCTTGCTGCTATAGCCATGTGAGCTGCGTCAGCCCCCTGCAAAGGGCTGTGTCTAGAGCTGACAGATCAAGACACAAGTGATGCAAAGCCTGTGGTCTAAAGTATAAACAGCTCCAAGCCCACAAAAATGGCATTATGATACAGTCATCACTTGCACTTAGCTCTTCCTTTTATCCTCCCTGTACAGATAGCACAAGGGGTAATGGCCTTAAACTGAAAAAGGGCAGATTTAGATTAGATGCAAGGACGACATTCTTCCCTGTGAGGGTGATGAGACACTGGCATAGGTTGGAAGGGAAGGGTTCAAGGCTAGGTTGGATGGGGCTTTGATCTCGTGGAAGGTGTCCCTGCCCATGGCAGGGGGCTTGGAACTGGATGATCTTTAAGGTCCCTTCCAACCCAAACCATTCTATGGTTCTATAATGATCTCAGGCTTACTGGGACTTGGCACATGAAGGAAGACTCCCCAATAACTGAAACGATTCTGTGTGAAACCTCAACCCTCCTTACCTCTCCAAAAACACAAACAAGGAAACATTGCTAAAAAAATGCCCACATGGAAGAAGTGTAATTTCAGTGGAAGTGAACCAACTAGCATTGCTCCACGGCTCACTGCTTCCTCCACATAGCAGTCCTACCCTCATTCCTGCTGCTCTGAACCAAAACTGCTGTTGCCTACCTGCAGAACCACAGAAGAGGAAGTCAGGAGGGTTCTCCAGGTGTTCCTCAGAACATCCCCTGGCTTAAGAGTGGATCAGTCTTGCAGCCACTTGGCCTGGAGTTCAGGGTTGTCAGCCCGAAAGGTTCTGGTTTAAGGCATAAGATGCCTTTTTGGAAAGCCTCATCCTGCAGTTAACATGTAGATAAGGTTTTCTTCTTGAACATACTGCTGTGGTCAGTGTTGGGAGGAAGAGAGCTTTAGCATGAATAGGTGAATGTGATGTTTGTAGCACAGAACAGTTTGGCCTGTTTCAGCTGCACAGCCACCTTTCTCTGCAAACCCATGGACTCACAGGACCAGAGGCATAGTTCAGACTAGAAAAGGAGCTGACTCTCCACACAGGCAGTTAAATTGCACAGCTCTGTCTCAAGGAGTGGCAGATACCAAAGTGGCCATTGGTTCAGAAAGCAACTGAGAAAAAAATTATACCCTCAGATTTATTATCAATGCAAGTACAGTTTCAGATTGACAGGACTGATTCTTATCTCAGTGTAGATCTTTAAAAGAATGCGTAAGCACATGGGTCAAATCCAGCTATGTGACCACGTGGTATTATATTCCTGCTTGTTAAATGTCAGCTTGAGAGATTTTTTTAAACAAGGCAGTATTGGTTCATCAAGCAGCCTGTCTCACCTCTGTTTGCTTAAGCATTCAGTTGCAAACAGAGAATATGCAAGAAGAACATTATTGGCTTTGAGATGTTACTGCGCCCACACCTAGAAATGCCAGCGGGGTCACCAGAACCTGACACAGAAGGTTTGTGTTTTACAGCTCATGCAAGATCATCTGTCCTCACCTGCCTGCGCTAAGAGGCCTTTGCTTGAGGCTGTTTCTAAGCTGCAAAGGAGGAGAGAGGAAAGCCAAGGGTCTCGGAGACCTGCCTACCATCAAACATGCCGAATCCTCTGTCACCTGCATTACTAAAGCCTGATCCTGATTTATCTCCTGTTGTAGCAACTCCAGGGCAAATCCTGCTCTGGCCACTCTCAGAGCTATTCTCTGCACAGTGCTAAAGGAGGTGTCATGGAGACTAATACAAAGGTAGTGGAGATGATTAAGACAGGACAAAAAGGCCAAATAGCATCAAATATCAGTTTACAGCTGGAAGCAAAACTCAATTGCCACATTACACGTTCCCAGAGGTTTACACAAGAGATTGTTGCTTTCCACCTCCCTCTCTCCTCTGTAATCTCCTCTGTAATGTCTGTGTTGCGTGAAGTCAAAAATCAGCTACTTCTAACACTCAAACCTTGACCTGAATTCTAAGCCCAGCCAAGCTAAAAATAAAAGGTAATTAATTTGATGTCTGATTTTCCTCTCTTGACAAGGTTTCTATTCATGTTGATGACCAACTGGCTGCACTAGAGAGCACAAGTGTTTAGTAATGCTCTAACCCTACCCATTTAGCTACCTAACAGGGCAGGGTCTTGAGGCTGTTGGAGGCACTCCTGACACACCAGCAGCCAGGAGGAAGCAGCATGACCAGTTTTAAGGTCATTTACATTATTGGAAGGCCAGTTTTCAGCAGGAGGAGGCTCAGAGCCAACACA